ACCAAAGGAGAACTAGAATCCGCATTGAAATGCTCGGAAAAATATTTCGATTATCAGTTTCGATACTGAATTAATTAATTAACGAAGCTGAATTGTAATGGACATATGATGCACAATATTGTTTTATTTCAAATGCTATTGAACTATGATTCGCCCGAATATCAAAATAAGCATTGTTATCCATTGACTGATCTCTTCCAAAATAATGTACATGCACAGCATTAACCTAGAATCTCGCTGACCAATACTCATAAATACCTTCGCTTCTCTTTACATGGCTTCACAGGCTTATCTTCCATATTAAATCAGTTCCTTGTTCACTAATAATGAAGATTTAATGTATCGCCACATTTATTTATTCGCGATTCACTTTATTTAGACTAATTTCATCAATTGTCACTTAACTTTCGACAAGCATTTTCACTTACAACAATACGATACGATCACTTGACTGTAAGGCAAAAGCACACTGACGCTCAGCTGACGTCAATGGATCGTCTAGATATCAACGTGCAAAGTTGTGAAACACACGCATAGCCAACATGCGAAAGACACACGCGGCGCGAAATATTCACTGTTCAAATAATGAATAGATTTATAGAACAAACATATGTTTATTTATCTATGCATATGTATATGTACCACTTGCACTATGTGAATTTACATAAACCATTGTTAAGCATTTATTGAATATTATTTAGACATTAGGAGTTTTCGTTCTCTATGTGAAAATTCAAAATCATTCAAATAACAATATATGTAATGTAATTTTATTTTATTAACACTGGTCATATTATATGTAAAGTTTTATAATTGTGAATTCTATTTTGAGACTCATTTCTATTAGTAAAAGCTAATAATAAAAAAGTGTCAATACAGCAAAATGTGCACAATTTTGTCATTTCTATAGACATTTTAATTATGAATTAATTTTATATTTTATTTGATATAGAAGTGGTATATGGTTTTAATTTGAATAATTTAATTGCAAGTATCTGAAACATGTATCAACAATAATGGATAATTCAAATTACTTCAAAGGTTTACTTTCTCTATGGTCTAATTAAATAAATATCATAGGTATTTCTATTCGTTGACAATACGCTGTTCTTGGTTTCAACAAATACTTTACATAATACATACATGTAAACATATAATGACTTCATGCTAGGGTTTTTTTGTGAAGTGAAGCCAAAAAAAAAGCAGTTTTTATTTGTTTTTAATTAACATATTAATATTGTAGAAATCAACAACAAAGTCAAAACAACAGAAAAATTTAAAAAGATATTTTTTTTTAAATTAAAGATTGTGAAAATCATCAGAATTAATACTTTTCAATAATACATAATTAACTAGAATTTGTTAACATTACTAGTGTGTTTGAGTCTGCATATAGGTGCATTTGCAAGTTTATGTATGTACGTGTGTACATATAGGTGCCTGTGTATGTGTTTGTATAAATAACAGGATTACATTACTATATAGTTAACTGTATATAGCCAATTGGTGTCTAATCCACTTAGTAATACAAAAAAATATCCACAAAATATCCACTCACAAGTACAAATGTATACTCACAATAATTTCTTCAATAATTTGATATTTTTGTAGACTATAATGTGCATTGTTATGCCTACGATCATAGATTTATACGTAATACAAAAAGTCGAAAAATTATCGTCTAAGAAAAATTTGAAGATAATATGTAAATAAAGAGGTGAGATGTACTCGGGATAGCAGAAATAGAATCTGGTTTGATACGAAATGGTTACACAAAAAAAACCTGATTTCATTTACATGGTCTATAATTCATTTCATCTATTACAATAAACTTAATCATAAATTTTAAACAATACTAAATTCTATCAGGCATATGTGACATTTATAACTTCAAGAAATTACAAATTTTATACAGAATCAGATTTGTTTTGTATACTTGTTTTCTCAATTTCTACATCTTTTGAAGTATCTATCGTCTCTTGGCCGCTCTGATCAAATGCTTTGTCTAAAGGACTGTCATCATCATCGTCATCTCCGGTTTGTTTATTATATAGAGCTGGATATTGTGACATACAATCTTGCATATCCTTGAATTTCTCAAAACAGTCACTACCTTTCGGATCAGCCTCACTGGAATTAATTAGAAATGTAAATAAATATTATTTTATTATAGTTACTTAAAATGATTTAAATATGTAGAATCAAAATTTAAAGATGTGTTTCAGAGTTAAGTATTTTGAACTTGAAGTAGTGAACAGTACTTCTGCGAACAAATGCAAAAATACATTGAAAATTAAACAAGATTCTCAATAAATATTGTAAATAGAATAATATGTTATATTATATACCATAGAATTAGAAGAAAAAGATGAATCACACACTATCTGTTTCGATAAAAATATAACTGATTACTAATTGAATAATTAAAATTTGAACTGAACAAAAAATTATTGGTGTCACTTGTTATAAATGTTTAATAGAAAAAAATTGGATTCTATTAATTTGCTAACATAGCTATAATAGTGCACTGAAAAATTGCATAACATAATAAAAAGGCTACATATTCAAATTTTTTGAATATGAATGAAACAAGAAAATTAAGTATCAATTCACATTAAATTGAAAAACGAGCTATTAACAAAAGCTAACAATATTTGCAAAAATTGAAGACCATTAATATAATTCTATTACCTATAATGAAAACACGAAAATGCTTCTCTAAATGAAACTCCGCAAGGTCCCGTGGCCATGCCTCCTAAACATGGGCAATTCCAATTAATTTCACCATTTGGCAATATCAACCCAGGTGACGGCTCTGGTTCAGGTAATGTAACCGTACTCGGTACTTCATGATCTTCTTTCGTTGCAAAAATAACAATGTCTTTGCCACCATCTTTTTTCTCACAATAAGACATCTTCAGTATTTTACTTTACTTTAATACGTAATTAGAGCTAATGACTATAGGTTCTACTGTTACCAATTAATGATAGCAAGGAAGGAGAAATATTATGGATTTTATATGCACAACTGATGTTTTCATATGTACTGCATAAAGTTAAGGAGCTCCTCAATTTAACATATTGCTCTGCAGGCACTCTGATTATAGCACGTCGTTCACATGAATCATATTTAAGTATATCAATATTTACACTTGATGATATTTCTCCAATATTTGCCTCAAACTGTTTATAATATTCTTTTTCAAATATATAATAGAAACGTTGGAATCGTCTTGCGCTAATTCTCTGCAAAGATAATTTAATTATTACTTTTGGATTTAGCTAGTGAAAGAATTAAACTGATAATGCAAGCTATACTAGAACATAACCTAAATTTATATACTAACAAAGATAAATCCAAGTAATAAAAATCACTCATTCTAGATAAACATTATACACAATTAACGAATAATTACATAACAATTCAAATTACTTATTAGGTTCGCCTAAAGTTAATATTCAATTCGGCATGATTTTAAATCAAAGATACAACAAAAATTAAATAAGGACCGAGTGCGCAATCGACAGAAGTTTCTGTCAGAAGAGGTGATCCTAGCGCCACTAATGAATGAATTAATGTATGGGTACTAATTTGAATAACGCCAAATGGCATTTTTTTTACTTTTTTTACTAGATCTCCGAAACCGCTAGACCTGCTTTCCCAAATATTCAATCAGTTTTTCATCTTGTCAATACTAGAAAATGTTTTTTGATTTATTAAAATCGAACGCTCCGTTCTCTTCAAAACTGAGTTTTTGGTGCATTTTTGGCACTTTTTGCCACGTATCTTCGGAACGGCTAGATCTGCCTTTGCCAAAAACTAATCAGCATGTCTCCTTATCAATACGAATCAAATGTTTTTTGAATGATTCAAATCGGTTGATCGGTGTTCCCAAAATCGTCGACGAAAATTTGTATCCGCACACACACATACATCCATTTTTTCTAATAATAAGGCATGCCAAAATATTCAGAAACCTCTAAAGCGTAAAGAAAGATATATAAAAAAATTTCTTTGTCGATTTTTTGTGACTATAACTTGCCCGTTTCGGGAAATAATCCGATTTGCTAATTATATGTTTTCTCGACGTTTTTTTTTAAACGGCTAGGCCGATTTAAAAATTTAAAAGACATTTGTATAAAATTTTTCGTCCACATTTTAGCGCACAATCTTCAATCAATTCTAACAATTCAAAAGATATTGATTGGGAATCACGTTGATTAGTTTTCTATAACGATAGATTTCGTAGACTAAAGTAATACACCAGAATATTATAGGCCTAATATCAGGGCCTCAGCGCCCGCATGCCATTATTTTTTCGCGCCCCCGTCCCCCTATATTATATCTTAACTGTTTTAACAGTTCATCATGAAAATTATGCAAAATTCACATTAATTTTTTTAAATACTTTTTAATAATTCTGTGTTTATGTACACAAAATTTAGATATATGTAATGTAAACTAAAAGCGCAAAAATACATTGATTTTAAAATTATTCAGAAGATCGAGGCAATTCGCGGGTGCTCATAATCAAACTTTTGTGTCTTCTACCGTTGTCGCACTACCGAACTAATTTCAATCCAAACTTTTCAACACATCCAAAAATTTCGATATGTTATTTATTACTTGCAAGATTATTCTTGCATGTGTAATATTAATATTTGGGTTTAGCAAATCAGAGATTAAAAAATTCTAGCCTTTCTATATTATAAATTTCATATCCGAATCTCGTTTTGGCGTCCCTAAGGCGTGCGCCCGCATTTTTTGCATGCATTGCATTCCATTTTGTCCTATATGACACTGATTGTGAGGAAATAATGTTAAACACATGTTAAGCCATTCAAAATAATACGTACATATTTATAAATAAAATAATATCAATTTAAAACTTTGAAAAGAATTTCTTTTTAGAAAAGTTTCAAATTTAAATTAAATAATATTTTCTTCACCATCTGTTTAGTTTGTTATAAAAAAAAGCTAATTTTAAAGTTTTAACATGCATGATGTCTATGTGATTTTAAACAGAAGGTTAATAAAAACATTTTTATTGCCATTACTTAAATACAATTTTTTGCTCTAAATGACTAACATTATTAAACACTTGTTAAAATTTCATAACTCTGAAGAAATTAAATTAATAAAATTATAAACACTGCAAACAATTCTGAACTTATTACTATAAATATAAGGCCAAAAAATACAATGGAATATTTTATTGGTACCTATTATATTTATATACCAAATTTATTTGCTTGGCTACTCATTTTAAACAGAATATTTTAACATACTTATAATACAAGAATTTCAAATTAGGCAGATCTGTTTGCCATTAATTGCCATTACACATTTATACACGTATGCATCAGATACATACATGTATGTATATACATATTTACATTTATTTATAGTTATTTACAAAATATAGCAAATGTTGGATCAGATTTGTTGTTTCTAGCTAATCCAGTAAGCCCGAATATATTAGTAATATCACAATATTTACAATTAAAGTAAAACGTTCAGTATACTTTATATAATATAGTATGAATTAATTTAAAGAAAGAATATATCACATTCATATAGCATTTGGTGTTTCTGGTATTAGTGATTGGAAAAATGCCCTCACAAATGTCACAATATTGTGAATAAATGTGGTCGATCATCATTTGGGGTAATCTGTTGAGTTGTGCTGGTATGTGTACTAAAAGTAGGAGTCTCTTGGTTTTGATCAATATTGTCTACAATTTCATTATTATTTGGAGCATTTGCATTTGGTGCATTATTGTTTTCGTTGTGAATTTCCGCCATAACGTTTCTAAAGAATCCTATTTGATACCTGAAATAAACATTTCTATAATTTTTTTCTAAAATTTCTTTAATAATGATATTCCACTCACAAGCAAATTGATAGTTCTTTGACGTTATATACAGTTCAGTTTTATATCAAATTTCTCAAATGACTCATTTATATTAATCAGTAATTTGAAAATTATGAAAGTTGAAAACAAAGTATTCAAGTCATATTTTGTTTTTACTTCATTTTGAACAATAAAGTTGTTCATCACATAAAAATAAATGTAATGGCACGCTTAGATTAATTTATACCTCAATAATGACTTTTAAAATCAAATTTTCATAGAACTTTTGGTTTAAAAAGCATGGTATAAAATAAACTGAGATATAATAAATTAATGCATAAATCAATTCAGGATTATGATTGCTATACTACCATAGACCTTATATTACATGGACTCTTAGTCCCCTTACATTTCTCAAGTAAAAAATGTTCTCTGTTGCGAGGGTGTGCCGCCGAGAAACGTCAAGATAGATTAAATAAATGAATGCTTTGCGAGTAAGATTAGGCATTAATCGATATCAAAAATCGTGAATATCTTTCATATCCTTCAGATAAAATCTTGAATTTATGTTTATATATAGAAAGTATAATTTGAAATTTCTCAAATTTAATGTACAAAAATTTGTATGATAGCATGATTCTCCAAAAGTTGAATGACTTGGGGCTTGCACAGATCAAGTCATTTCCAGCAATTTGTCTAGCATTACCATGATCTTATCAACTTTGTTACAAGATCTTTTTACATTTTGTATCGGCTCGACTGGCAGTTCATGTAATATAAGATCTATGTATACCACAAATAGTTATGCTACCAAATCATATAGTTATACTATATATAGTTAGTATATATTTAGTTAGTATATAGTTATATTATATATACTCACAAATGTACAAGAGTTCCAAGTATGAGGACAACTAAAAATCGGATTGGTGAACTATAGAAATAGACAATGCTAAAAAGGACCATTATTCTGCTCAAGAAATAAAACCAATCCAGCCAATCACGTTCACCCTCAACTTCATCAGCCGGTATACCAACACCAACAGCATTTATTGGAGCAGCAGCAGCAGCTTGCTCAACTTCAGGATCCTGTAGAAAAGTACACAGGCATAATAAATAAAAAAATCTTGTAATGTTTCTCATCACAGTTAATTGCACAGAACAAAAACAAAACACAATCAAATTTTCTAGGTTAAATTTGAGTCTATTCATAAACTGTTGCTATTTTTGAATTTTAGTTTTTTAAATCAGAACTGAAATTTTATTATTATCTTTTTACTTGACCATACATTTGGGGCTTGTGGAGCTGTGTCATTTTCAGAAATCCGAGAATTTGATTGAATATTTATGGAATTCGTCTGCAGCATTTGAAGATAAGCATTTTCTGGAACCATTCCGTGTTGTAATCTAACAAGTATATTAATAGTATTACACATGAGTATTTACAAAATATGATTTGGCAAAAAATTGCCAAAATGGTATGTATCTAAATATGACTGTAGAACTGTAACTATTAAATGCATCTTAACTTCGTTAACTTACATTTGCATATATTGTGTTATATACTGTGTATAAACTTGGTTCAACCATAACAGATTTTGTACAACAACTTGGTTTGATGGTGTTCCATTAACATTATTCCATTGGGGCACTGGCTGTGTATTAGCCAAATCATTCCTCTGTCCATACTGTTGATTTATCGCTTCACTCGATGAACTAGTGCTACTATTTGACAAAATTCTCTGGTAAGTGGTACTTGCATTTTCTCTTTGATTCGTTGGTATTGGATCAATTACTGGACCTTTTGTCTGACATTTTGTCTTCACTTTAATATTGTCATTTTTGGGAATGCAAACTAAATGAACAGTATGGGTATCTTGACCTTCATATCTACGTAATATATCTTTCAGAACAACAGTGTCAGATAACAACTTGCCCGAATAGATAAGTTTCTGTTCTTCCGTACTCTAGAAATAATATTAGTGCAATTAAAATAATAATTTTTGAATTACGTATTTCATTACATCATAGTGGCACAATTTCTATTGCAACTTATGATATAATTTATTTACCATTATTGATAAATCAATTTAGTATAAATTTTATTTTATATGCAAATAGAATAAAAACTAGATGTAAGAGGCATTTTGCTTTCAGACAAGTTGAATGAACTTCCCAATATATGTAAACAATCTACTTCAACTTTATTAAATAAAATGTTTAATTGTCTATTTCGAAAATAATGACTTTTCGCTTTCACTAAAAACTAATCAATGCGACTTCCAATTCATATTTTTCAAACAGACTTATAATATCCATAATTATATTAATTATAGTGCATAATCACATGCTTGTATGTACTAAACAGACATTGCAATCCCTAATAGAACAAAAGTTTAGCATTATTACTGATCTCAAACTAACAAAAAATATGTAGACAGGCATCATTAGCCATAAGATGTATGAGTAATCATCGTTTACTTTAGTTTGTCATCTTAAATTCCATTAATAAATGTATATACTTAACATATTATTTTACTTTAAATGTTTAATACTAAACTTTTGTACAGTTACAAATCTAGGGAGCCCACAGCAAAGCGCAAGAACCCAAAAAATTTGCGAACCTATATTTCAGATCATAAACTGTATCGTTATGTAAAATTTCATTAAAAACACATTTTTGGCTAAAACGCGAACGAAATATTTTGCAATTTTCTGCTATAAATTATAAACTATTTGGACGATTGTCGCTAGACGCTAGTCTAGCCGTTTTTGAGAAAATATGAACAAAAGATTGATGAAAACAAAAAACAAAAAATGATTCAATATGGCTTGAAACCCCAAAGGAAACAAAACTAGCAAACCGGATTTCCTGGCGAAAACAAATTACTCCTTCGGGAAGTTAATTATGCTTCTTTAGCAAATGCAAAGTATCAGTATTATGTTGTAATATTAAATATACTATTAAGATTACATTGATTTATTCCAGTCAATTGCTGTTAAAATAAATTATAGATCATTTAATTCAATCAATTTTGTCTCAGTTATATTAATCTAATATTTTGAGATATATAAACTATAAAAAAAAATACATTCACCTTTAAAATGTATGCTCCAATTAATTTCTTATTTTCAAATGCAAATCGAAAGTAGTAAAGTATAATAGTAAATAATATATCTAGTTAATAATATTCATAGTTAACAATTAAATAAAGTAAAATTAAATTAGATAGCAAGTAACTGTAGGATAATATCAATTATTAATAAATTTTCATCTCAATTTTATTTTTTTTTAAATCAAAATTATTATGTATTGTATTATGTATTTACACAAATTATAAAAAGCACTGATTATATTATCAAATGTGCAATTCAATGAAAAAAAAGATTAAACAATTTAATTTTGATGAAATTAATTTCTAATATTTAAACATGAAGTTCAGAAACTAACAATCAATTACTTTTTGATTAAGGGTTTTAAATTAATAAGGGCACAAAAATAAATAAAATACTGTATAAAATCATAAAACATTTAATGGTTTTTTCAATCTGTACATTGTTTAATTTGAATATAGTAGTGACACAAGAGTCAAATATTTCTATTGAAGAAATACATTCGCCTTTATTAATACATACTCACGTTAATTTTCTATTTTCAAATGCACATTGAAAGTAATATTTATTTATTTATTTATTCATAAGCAAGCCGTAATCAATAATAAATATTTCAGGCTCTTGTCAGGCTTATTTATAATTAATAATCAAAGTAAAGTAAGATTAAATTAGATTGCAAGTAACTGTAGGATAATAGTGATAATTAATTAATTTTCATTCAAATTTTAAATTCTTTAATTTCAAAATCATGTATTGAATAATGTAGTTACACAAATTACAAACTGTAATAAATGACATTATTGCATCATCAACAAGAAGCCCTGATTTATCTAATATGTAATGTAATAAAAAAACAAACAAACTAATAAAAGCATGAAAATAAATAAAAAATGCTAAAGAAAATCACAAAGGATTTAATGGTCGAACCGATCTGTACATTGTTTAATTCGAATATAGCATTAATACATAATGTAATAAAATTAATATGTAATGTAATAAAAAAACAAACAAATTAATAAAAGCATAAAAATAAATCATCAATAAATAAATAAAGAAAATCACAAAGGATTTAATGGTTGAACCGATCTGTACATTGTTTAATTCGAATATAGCATTAATACAAGAGACCAACTATTTCTTGTCTCAACTCTTGAAAGCAGCTTTCAATAATTCTGTCATTAAGCAAATTTCTTAATTTGTTTAAGTACTAACTGCACAATTTGTAGTAATGTATATAGATCATAAGTTTTTATTTCACTTTAGTACTGCAAATATATCTAGTCATATTAATTTATGACTAGATATATTTGCAGTTATGACTTATGACTTGATTATATTTGATAATCTTCTAATACGAGCTGATTATTTAAATTATTTAGCTACAAGCATGATATTGCTGAGCAGGCACTTAAAGTACATTATATTATTAAGCAATTTGGCACATATTAGTATTTTATCATTTTGCAAAAAGAAAAATTTTGCCATAGTTAAATACAAAACCTATATGTTGTGGTTAGATATTGCCATATAAGTGCTAACATTTGTACTACTTATTTGGGTAATCAGCTTGCTTCCATACTTCATTTGACGTTTTGCTGTCAACTGCATAATGAAATTAAAATAAATGAATGATGTCAAAGAATACTTACAGGCTTGCTAGGATAAACTTCTGAGAGATACCCTTTTAGCTTTTTTATCGTCCACGATAGTTCGCATTGTATGGTTTGGTCTTCTATCTGTTGATTTGGTGCCTTCACAATCAAAGTCACAGGTACTGCTTCCATCTTATGTTACATCAAAATAAACAAATAATTGTTATTGTTAAATATTATAGAATATGTATAAAAGATAAAGACATGTTTTTCAAAATATAATTCTCTAGATCAGATGTCACATTACGATTGAATTTTGATAATAAGTGTTTGTGACGTTTGCTCTCACAATCAATTTTGATATTTGTTCGCTCGTGATTGGTCGAACGGCGAACGCTAAACGATAACACAAGGAACGGGGAACGAATTGATAAACACCATCGAGAACGTCGAGAGATAGACTGTAGACTGCACGGCGAATCTGACTGAAATTCGAAGCGCAGTGAAGTTGGCAGGTCAGAATGCAGGTTTCTAAAGGTATTCGCATACGCAACAAAGTTGCTTGGCTCTCATTACCCTAGACAATCATAGATAAGGAAAGACAATATATTGGGTTGTTCGAAAAGTAACTTCGTTTTTTATAGACATTTTTGCTCGTAATTTTCGTATAATAAAAAATTACTTTAATAAATTATGTATTGGCAGTTTTGATAGAACATCTTTTGTCATATTTCTGGTATTAGCATAATTTCGAAATAATAAATGTTTTGGTGGTTATTGAAAAAAGACTGATCAAAGTGCTTTTTACAGACTGATTTCAGGTAAAGATTTCACCGCCTAAAATTTTTTTTAGTGACCGGTACAAATAATGGTCCGATGATGGCAGGTCTGGAGAATATGATGAATCTTCAAAATTAGGTCCCATTCGGGCTTCAAAAGCTTCTGGCGATTGACCAAACTTCTGTGAGGTCTTGCGTCGTCTTGATGCGGAACTATACCTTGTTGTGTGTTAATTCTGACCTTTTCTATTGAAGTATATCATTTAGTTCATCCAGCTGATAACATAAGGCATCCAAATTAACCGTTATGTTATCCTGAAAAAGCTGAAAAATGAACAACTTCTTTAAAATCTTACCAAACATACTGCATCACCTTTTCTGGCAAATATCAGCTTTGCACCTGTTTTGAGCAGGTTCTTTTTTTGTTTCATGGACAAATGTGTGTATTGTATTCCTTACATCCCATTTGAAATTCCTAGTGAAAATTCGCTTTAAAACCTGATAATTTTCAAGACTTTTCAGAGGCGAATGGCGGACGCCAGTTCGACGACACACGTAACTTTCTATGAGAACTATACATTGAGTTTTGTCATGAACTGTTAAATTCGATAAATTTTTACTCATGTATTATTATCTTAGATATTATTATTCGTCGGTTTGCATCAACTAATGCTTTTCTCGCGTCTTTATTAGCTTCAACCGTACTTCTTGGACTTGATGCATCTTGAACATCAAAATACCAGGAATGAAATTTAGCAAACTAATTTTGTCCTACTATCAACACGCCATTTCTATACACATCGGTCAGTTTCATTTTGACTCAAACAGTATTTTTACCTTTTCTACAGAAAAAGAGTAAAATAAGTCGAAAATGCTGCTTAATTTTTTCCGTATTGAAAGTGGCACCATCCAACAACTACTGCATGTAATCAATTAGAATTTTTTACACATAAACCTTGAAATATAAGTTTTCAAATAATATAATAATTATAGGGCTTAAATGTGATGTTAGGTTAAAAAAAATAGTTAAATTCTGGTGGTAAAAAACGAAGTAACTTTCCGAACAACCTTATAGTAATTCATTACGTTCTTGACACACAACACCACTTTCCACTTTTCACATACACAGTTATATGCTAGAATTACTTGTTCCCTCAAAGGGTTAAAAACCAAAAAAAGACGTCAGGTACAATATGCTATCCAGAAATAAATCAACATTGTAACTGGTCCATGCATTTTTCTGTCGTTTACAGTATCTTTTATCAAAAGCATTTCTGAAAATTCTAAACCCTTTCAGTCGATTATATTACCAAACCCAATCTAATTAGATTAATTAGTACTTACGTTTCATTTAGGCATTAAATGGGTCAATTCTTTCGATATGATATGGTTATTACTAAGATAATAAAATATGTACACCACAGTTGTATATTACACACACAATAAGCTAAAGATTATTAAATCAATTTGAATATTGAAGTGGAGTTAAGAAGACAAGTTGATAATATATATATTTTATAAAACTATATTTTAATATTATTACATATATTATAATAATTTGTGTAATAAATAAATAATTATTCACTTACAACAAGATAAATATAAAAATATTGATTTTCAAATTTGGTCACTTTTTATAATACATACATATGTATGCTTTATATATATTCTAGTCTACCACCAATGTATAAATTTCATACATAAACATTTTGTCTTTTTAATAAACATGCACTCGCAACACATTTTCAATATAATCAAAAGTCAGTACCAGACAGAGCAGCAGCAGTAAACATAAGCTGTTTTTTTTCTTAAAAAAAATCAGTGTTTATGTACACTTTTTAAAAAAATCATAAGTAGATACGTTAATACTGTTTAAATATTTGGAAAGTGCGATAGATTTCAGATAAGCTAGGTCCCTTATTCTTTTACTCGCTTGCTGCAGGCAATTACACAAATATGCCTATCTTATGTCGCGAGATATATTTAAAGCTGATGTTAAAAAATTGCCAAAAATAAGCTTAATTTTTATTATTCAAAATAACGTAGCATTGCAGTGGAAATCAATGGAAAGAACGCTAATTTAACATGTAAAACTATAGACAAGCGAGCATTCGGAGACTATTTTAGTTTCAGCTGACAAAATTGAATCTGTCTTACTATAATATATTTATATCGCAACTATGCTTATGATTTCATATTATGCTGCCTAAAACTTACTAGCGTTATAGAATATTATTGTTAATCTAGGAATTTTACTTATCCGATTTAAAATATCGATAAAAACATGATATATAATCGATTGCAGTCACTTTGTTGTGATGGACATAGTAAATGTATAACCTGATTACAATTGTAATTTATTTACATAATATAATAATAGTATTTGTCGAGCATGACTAAATAAAAAGTTACTTAGTTTCAGTTTGCTCAACTTTAATATAAACATTTGTTGAACAATTTTTTGAAATACTATATACAAACAGAGTTTTTATATATCTAGCTACGCCATTTTTTTATTGAGCCCACACATATGCAAAGGCAGCAATTTTTCTTGTTCTGTAGCATAATTAAAAATTTGCATAATAATATTATATCGTATCTTATAATAGTTTTTTTTAATAAATTATTCTAAAATATCGAATTATATATTGACATTTTAGTTGCATTATTGTCTTATTTTATTGACCATGGTTAGATTTAGAAAACTTGGCCTTATTTTAAAATGTTAAGAAAAGTGATACATTATATTAATTCAATTATTAACTACTTTATAATGTAATCATGAGCTTTACATTATGATTCTTCCATTTAATTTATGTACTAAATGATGTTATAGTCTGAACAGAAGATTAGTGCTAAAAAAGGCCAAACAATAAAATGGAATAAAAGCCATGAAAATCACTTCCTTTGCACATCTAGTCACACACTTTGATCCGAAAGTTGCCAGAATCGTCAGAATTTATGAATTTTAATTATAAATTCACAATGATCGCATCACATAAAATTGTCTTTAAACTTGTTTATCTTGCAGGAAAAATATCGCAAACACGTTTTTTTCTGTCTTCTAACTCAATATTTAACACACAAATTATCACACCGTTAGGCAAGCTGATGGCCTGGTACTGTAGTGGTTTCCGTTTGGCTGATATCCGAAAGCAACCGCCTCGCACTCTGGTGTCGTGTTCTGTCGTTTCCGTTTGGTAATGTTGGCAAAGCTATTCCGTCCAAGCCGACCAGTGTGCCGAATTTCACTGGAGTAGGTTCCTGTTAAAATAATAGATTGTATATTGTAATTAAAAAACGGCAATAGTATAAGTAAATAATAACATTTTTTTGTTTTCTTAATGTTTCAAGTCATTCTGAGTCGACACCGAAATTGGAAAAGTAAATTTTCCGTTTCAAAAGCCGTTTTCTTCAAAAAACAGCCGCATTGATTTAAATAATTTAAAAGATTTTGTATAAAACTCGATTAGTTTCACGAGGCAATAATAGGCCAAGCCGCTTCTTAAGAAATTTCTTCTTTTAGAATTTGCAGAAAAGTGCATTTTGCAGTGCAAAGTGACAATTAGAAGAATTTAAAAAACGAAACTACAAAGGATATCAGTTGCGAATCTTAGTTCATAGTAAGGAACGGCCGAGCCGTTCTTTCGTAATTAGTTGCTAAATTATTTTTAGAGTGGTTTAATTATAACATTTTTTAAAAAAGCCACTATGTTAGGACATGCACTATGTATTTTCCGTTCAATATTTTGTTGATAAATTGAAAAACGTAGGCGTCTACACTTAAATGAAATAACATTTTAAGAACACGAAGTATATATTAGAGATATTATAGGTTTGAAATATATCAATTGAAAATCGCATTTATTTGCGTCCAGCGAAAAGTAAAAACATTTTCGAAAAAAGCTGTGGATAGTTTCATAATCACAATTTTCATAGTTGCTAAATCTCAATTCTTATTAATCAAGTTCGTTATTTATTAAACATTGGGAGTTCATGCAATTTGCCATAGGGCAACATACCAATTAGATCTAGTTAAGATTGGTTTATTGGAATCTCCAACGTAAGAGGTTAGCGGAATACAAAGTCTGATTAAAGCATTAAAGAGTTCCTGATAAAAATTAATTCGCGAGTCGATATCCAGTTGTGGAAATAGCATACATTAGAAGTAGCATTCCAAATGGGGCCTTCGCGCGCAGGTTTGCAATCAACCATCAATCAACTAAGTCGCGGGTTCAAATTGCCGTCACGAACAACCCTGATATCGAGCTGTAGCGATATCAATTTTCACTTGGAAATATATATTTAGAATCTGTTCCCAAGTGAAAATAGACCTTTCCGGTCATCGAAGCACCAAATTGAATAATAAATCCGCCATATTAGATAAACTTCTAATAATAACGTAATCAATGGATTAATTAATTAATTAATGGACATTAAAATGGATGGATCAATCGTTGGGTTACCATCTAAAAAATACGACGTACGGCAAAGTTTCAGCCCAACAGCTTATAGAATGTAAGGTTCTGATTGCTGTTAAAATATGGCAAATGCCGGCAATGGATTCATTTCATCCCTTTATTATATTATATCTGGATTACAATAGTGAAAGTAAAAAATGTCACAAACGACATTTTATTAACCCGCGTCGCAAGTTATCGGCCTAAACACAAATGACGCCTCATAGGTGTTGCAAGGTTTTAGGCCCAAACACAAATATGACGCATCAGAGTCGTCGCAAGATTACCGGCCCAAACACGAATAGGACGCCTCAGAGTCTACCGGACAAAACATAAGTAAAACATATCCGAAACTTGGTGAGGCACAGACATACATCGATTGTAAGAAATTTAAAAAAATACCCAATATGATGTGTTAATATTATATAATATAATTAAAAAAATATTAGTGATGAATTACAAAGCAGTGATGACTTTGCTACCAGTGGTATTTACATTGTACGTTTTGCACAAATATATAAATTTATAATATGTATAAATTATCAGATTTTTTATGTATTTGTAATAATAAATCTTCATTTTTATTTAAGAATCAACGTAATTATTAACTTCCCGTAGGGCAAGTTATAGTAATCGCAAAAAAATCGAAAATAAATTTTTTTATATATCTTTACGTTTCAGAGGTTTCTGAACATTTTGGCATACCTTAGAAAAAATGGATGTATGTGTGTGTGTGTGTGTGTATGTATGTATGTATGTACGTGTGTGTATGTATGTGCGGATACAAATTTTCGTCGACGATTTCGGGAACACGGATCAACCGATTTGAATAATTCAAAAAGCATTCGATTCGTATTGATAAGGAGACGTGCTGATTAGTTTTTGGCGAAGGCAGGTCCAGCCGTTCCAAAGATACTGGGCAAAAAGTCCCGAAAACGGTAACTCATTTTTTAAGAGAACAGAGCGTCCGATTTTAATAATTCAACAAATATTTGACTTGTATTGACAAGATGAAGAATTGATCAAATTTTCATGAGGGCAGGCCTAGCGGTTTCGGAGATCTAACAAAAAAAGTAAAAAAAAATGCTATTTGGCGGTCAAAAATGATCATTAGACATATGCACATCAAATTATCAGATATTTTATAGAAATAAGTATAAATTTTGTTTGCATTCCTATGGGTTCCGTACCAATGTTTATTCGTTAGACGGCGACGCGGCGCTTACGCGCTTTTACATTTTGTATCTATGCAGTTAAAGCAGTACGATTGCTTTGAAAAAAAAGTTCAGATCTTCCAAAATATGCCAAAATAAAGAAAACATTATTTTTTCCAAACAAAATTAAAAAAAAAAAAAAAAAATTTAATTTTTTTTTGAGAAAAATTTTTTTTTCAAAAAAAAGTAATTTTTTGTCCAATTTATAGTTTATCAAAAATCTTATATTTTCGAAGTAAATTTTTTTTTAAAATATCAATCGTTTTTAAAAAAATAATAATTTTTGGTACGGGAAGTTCCAGCAATTTGCCTTAAGGCACGATGCCTTAATTGCCTTAAGACAGAATTCCACTTACAGCTAGTTTATCAAACATCTTGCAAATGTAACTGTACCGCGCACGTGTAAGTACAAACTACAGGAATGCTGAGCAAAGTTGTTTGTGTCACTGCGTACGACCGATCTTAGTGTCGCTTTTGGCCCGTACATTTGGATAGTAGATGGTAAAATAAAAAAAAATTATAACGGAAATATTAACAACCCTCAATTTATAGATTGACTGACTTCTTCTTTTATAAAAATGTTTACAAACAACTAGTACGCGTACTGGTAAAGCTAGTACGTTTCCCAAATAACCATGAAGTCAAATACCAGATGTTACCTTAGATTCCGACCATTGAGACTTGAAATACTGGCAAAAGCATTGTACTGTAAATACTGCGCCAGCAATTCCTATTCCTGCTCCTACGATGACGTCCCACCAGTGATGACGGTGATCGGTGATGCGGGTCACGCTGCAAGCGATCGCATAGCAAAGGTACAATGCCTGTACGAAGGGAGTCGCAAAACGGGATCCCAGATATTGACGAGCGCGATAATGCAAGTAGAACTGGAAATAAATTTTTTCAAATGAATAATTCGGAACTCATTTACAATGTGGCCTACTCCCCTAACTCCTTCTATCATATAAAAATATTTGCTCGTATCGTTTTATCACTACTAAAAAGAAGCGGTCGCTACCTGTGGAAACTTCTTCCTTTTGCCTGTGTTTGTTTATATTGGCTTTGTATAAAATATTCGAAGTTTTTAAAAACGATGTTTACTTATTCACATGTAATAATAAAATTTTCTTTATTTTTTTTAAATAATAGAAGTTTCTCTTTTGACATTGATTTAACCCTCCGTCGATCATCGGAGTAGTCTGGCCAGACTTTTTTGGACTTCAATTAAAAAAAAAAATTTTAGTAATCCCATCGACTTGAAATTTCTGGACTTTTCCCAAAATTTCGTTAGTTTTCGATCAATGAAAAAATCAGGACGAAAAAATGTGTGGTCCAGCCAGGCTACTCCAACCGTTCGAAGGTAAATAAATATCCGACCGACGGAGGGTTAACTTTTTGATATTTCAATATTTTTATTGTCTCACTTTCGGCATAAAATTTGAAATTTATAGGCATATTAAAATGCATAAAATAGCAGTTTGTTATGATATTATTAACAAAGATGTTCGAACTATTTGTGAACGAATTTCAAATACTTAATGTAATTTAACAAATACTTAGATATATGAATGACTTAGTATAAACATTTGCATTGAGGACTACTAGGTCCGGAGTGATGGAGTGGCTAAAGTTAATTCAACTCTGAAGCGGAGTCATACATTGATCGATCCAGCTTCGAATATATTAAGACTAATTTTAGTACATAGGTACATTGATAAAAAGTATACAAGCAATGTTTTACAAGCAAGCATTTTACAATAATATACCATGATCGGTCTATTATTGTAAAATGAAGGTAGTAACATATGATTAACATTCCAAGACCGATAGTAGTTGTCTCTATATTATGTATTATATACTAGACTAGCCGAGTCATTATAGTAAGTTCACCTCTGAATTCGAGATACTCAGCTGTAAGTCTGTAAATACTTGTATATTGATGCCCTAAAGTTGTCTCAAAACTTACATATGGTAGGGTGTCAATACCCTACAATAGTATTGCTGGGTATCTCGAATTCCGAGATTTTTTTTAAGCTTAAATGACTGGACTATACTTCAATTAGATATCTTATGTTCATTCTTATGCTACACTTATCACCAACAAAAAAACAGATTAATCAATATTGACCTCACATTCTATCGAATTTTTAATACAAAATTAAATACACAACTATTAAATTAGATTTTGTGCCAAAAAAACTTACCACCATAAAGAGTGATGTGTAGCAGCTCAAACCGGAATGACCTGATGGAAATGATCTCGTCGATTCTCTGACGTTCCACGTGGTGATGGCAGTGTTAGTACATTTGTAATTTGTTATGTATACCCTAAAATTTAATAAATAATGATAACGTAAAATAAATGGTAATTGAATAAATATCTTTTTGCTAGTATGAAATGTATTTATTTTATATCGCATAGGAATGATGTTACATCAACCACTCGATGATGCTACATCAACAAAAATACGTTCTTTTAATTATTATGCATTATGCTTGTATTGTTTTTTTCGTTAAGTTTGCTTATACAGTATGTAGAATACAGAACACTACAAAAGGTAAATATTTGGCTTTTTATTATTTTTTTGGTTTGGGTTTGTCGTTTAATTTTCTATATTTTTTTCATTTTCATGTTTTTAGCAATTCTATTTTCTACTATCCCATTGTGAAGTACTTTATATACTAGTAAAGCCGTATCTGTTACGCACAGAAACATGCATCAAATATAGTATTACAAGTACGTAAATAAAGATAACATAAAAATAATAATCATCATGATTTTGTAACTAAATTCAACAGACACTAGTTAGGCGTAATGCCATACATCACTAATATTTGTACATAATATAAGCTTGAGAGTTTAAAAGATTCATAATTTCCACTAACCTCTGCGTACAGTTGAGTCCTGGTTCGGGCCTGCACGAGTCTAGAAAATGCGGTCTCGGTTCTCCGATGATCGCTTTCATGACTTCGATTATGAACAGGGCCAAAAACAATCCCGTAACGTATTCCTTGTACCAACGCATCATACGTTTCGAGGCCATCTTTATATGCTTCCAGGCGCTGCCACTGCCTATAACGGCCCAGTGCTCAACGCAGAACATCTAAAAGTTTAAGTAAATAATGAAGTCACCTAAAATCACAAATGTTTGAAATTTGAAAGCTGACAATCTGTGAAACTTATTCTAGAATCCCATAATGTCCAGGAATCGAGGACAAATTTATTTTTATCAGAACAAAACACTTATATCTTGTAAAACAAAAATATAATAAATTTATTCATTTTCATTCTTATTTTCAAATTTTATTTTTATTTCTAAATTACTCATATAAAATTAAATGAGAACCAATTCTAAAAATCAAACATAGAAAAAGTAAACGGACAAAACACAATGCAACAAAACATCAAAGCATTTGTTCTACTGGCTCTACGATTGACTCTTTATTGTTTGTTCTTTTCTGTCTGCCTATCGTCCTCAGCCAGCTAAAAATTCTCTTCTCATTCTTCATGCTGAAGATACTTTTATGCTGACATGCTTGTTTTCTCCACTGTTTCCCTCCAATGTTCTACTGTGTCCTCTTTCTCATCATACAGATCACACCTTCTGTCTTTTTTGCCAAGTCAATGTTATTCTCCTTTCCAAGCGAGCTTCATATACTGCGTGCTATTATCCTCTTATCACAACCATTGCTCCATCCTCTGAGGTATTCCGGCAGTTCTCAGCTTTATGAAAAGTGATGGTTACTGAATCCAAGAGTATCCTTGATAATCTACCTCTCTAGTCCAAAGCATCTCTGATTACTTGTTTCCTACTTTCTTAGCAGCATCATAAAATGCTCTCTTCATTTTTGTGGCAATTATCCCACTTAGTTGGATCCTCATTTTCTTTTGTTTGTTTTATCTCCTTCATTACTTCATCTGCTTTATTTTTTTACTTTTCTTTACATATATTCTTAAATTCCAAATAAATCAGATACTTTTTTTCTGCGTTTTTTCTGGTTTCTTTTCTTCAATAAAGCTTTCAACCCTTTCTTTTTCCGACCACATTTTTGCCTTCTTCTCCATCTCTCTTTTCTCTTGCGTTTGATTTATGTATACTGATGTACATCTGAGGCAACTATTTTTTTATAATTTTAACTTTTTCGTACCAACAATAATATTTTGGCTACAATCTTTTTTCTCTTCTTATCCAACTTAAATGCTCTTCTAATTCTGTCTTCGACTGTCTTTTCCAAACCATTTCCCTGCTTCTTCAGCCACTTAAATGCTATGTTGTTCCTTCTTTTTTACTTTTTTTATATACATTGTAGTAAATTAAATTTTATAGATTTATTCATATTATAGATAGAAAAATAGAATTACGAAGGAATTTGACAGGCAAGACAGAAAAAAATAGAATAAGAGAAGATTACTATAGAAAAGAAACAAGGGGTATAAATATAGCGTACTTTTATGATGAATTATATTAGAAAAAGTTTTAATGGATAATTAAAAACTATCGACACTCACTATCACAAGTGGTGAAATCAGTGTCAGGATGGCCAGCATCATAGGAGTTATGGTGTCGCCTCGAAATTTGTACGAAATGCTGGGGTCTGTGCACCAGAATCCCTTCTGTTGACTTGGATACACACCGATCTCTATCAAAGCTATCGTCATGATGACTGAAAAATGAAAAAAAAAGTTAAAACATTATGGAAGATATTATAAAAAATAAGCCGAATATTTTTGTCCAATAATTCTTATAGTTATAATGCGTCAAATACCCATCATTCACGTTGAAATAAAATTAGCTGTATCATTTTTAATACTGTTGATCAAGACGTGCATTAATATTATCTAGCGAATATTCACATTAGAACATACAAAATATCCATCATCTACTTGATACTTAAAACTTTCCCAAAAGGCAACAAAACTACTAATTGATATTTGTAAATGCATTAAAATATATTTGCACATTATGAAAAGTATAATACTTTAATGCATTTATCACGATAAAATAGTTAAGTTATTATTGTACTTTGTACATAACAGAGGATTGTAAAATTATCGATTAATTCTTATTTAAATATTATGAGCTTTAATAAAAGTTGTATAACATTGGATTATTTATTGAAAACTTTGAAGTGTTTATCAGACACTTTGATGATTTATTATGCATTGTATTTCTGATGTTTTCTATCATATTAACCTATTATCGTATTATTTTCTGGACGAGGGATGAATAAACACAGTAGCTGATATATTTTCTGTGCAATTCGATATTCCATTTATAATACATAATAATTTATAATAATTTAATCTTTTCTACTCGGATGCCGCCTGAGTGAGAAACTATTGGCAATTCTACTTTTTATTGTAATTTTTAGTGTTTTACAGCTCAAAATCGAATTTTTCAACACATTTTCATTGATAATAATAGAAATATCTCAAAATTTGTTATTGTGCCTTGTCCTTCCAATAGCACTATTAAGGAAAGCGCTGTTCTGTACAGCAGCGACACAGCAGCGGCACTCTTGCAGAAAACGCTCTCGTAGCTAAAGGGTTATGATTACAAAATCTTCTGACGATTGCCAGAGATTTTATGATTGACAAAGATGAATGTGAAATTGCCAACTTGGCCCTAGTACTGTTCTGGCGGAGTTCTCTGACAAGTGAGATTGGATGATGTCGAAGCGGCTTTTGTACTTTTCTTAGTAAGTTCGTATTTATAGATTATTATGCTGTTGTCGGTGTCTTAAAACTATGGTCCAAGATGGGCTGAATATTGAATGTCAATTATGATAAATAAGTGGTAATTAAATTTAAAAAAATCAGTAAATATTAACTCCAATTTCACTTTGAGCAATCATATTTTGTAAACCAAACCAATTATTACACAACGAATAATACATAACAAACAAACAACTAACACTTTCGGAGTATGTTTAGCTTTAGTTAATTCATCATCGTAAAAAAGAGTTTTTTTGCTGTTTTTCAGAAATTTGTCATCTGGTCCTTTTTACGCCACAGGCGAGGTAAAATTGAATGGCCGAGAGGCAAACATGTCTCATTTTTAATGGGATTTTACGAAATAATAGCCGCATTATTCAACCAACACAAAATTTAAACATTATGGGTACATTTTTTACAGAGGAAATACTGTATATAACCTTGATCTGATATTTTGAGCAGCAGAGTTGAAATACCTATTTATTTTTATCTCTTATAAAATTGCTTTGTCTTGCCAGTTGGTCCTTTTTATCCCACACGTGCAAGATTTTATAGAGGTTTTATAAAAAAACGGTTGAATCTATAATGATGTAAATCTATATATAAAAAAAACTAACAACGAAAGAAAATACTTTTACTATGGATTTCAAACAATAGCGACGTCGTAAAATCAAGGTGATAGTAGATCACAGACATCATTATCCCTCTACTTTAACAAAATGACAGAAAAATCTTTACTTGTTTTTGAGATATATATCGGGGGTGGACCTTTTTACCCTTTTAAACCCCGCTCTGCCATAATTTTTAATAAAATAAATATAGCAAATCTAGGTAGCACAATTATTTAGTTGTCATCATAAAAGTTGATAAATATCATCATTGTAGCTCATAAGACTCGAAAGTTCTGACTGTTGTTCAGAAACGAAAATTAAAAGAATAAAAAAGAACGATAAATAAAAATGTTGTATGTAGTTCTAAATAGATATCTCGATGCTTTTAAATATTTTAATTCGTGTGTATAAATATTTAACAGCACATATACAAAACAGGAAGATCAATTCAATTTACAGGGGGATCCGGCAGTCATCAAGCAAATGATGAGATCGTTAAATTTGTACTCGACAGGATATTGCGCAGTTGATATATTTAACTAGATTTTCACTGTGGAAATTGAATGCAATTAATGTAATTAAGGAAAATATATCATGCAATAAGCAACATTCAATAATATTCAAGCAATACTAGGTTTACGGGCATTTCGTATAAACCTATCCTTAAGGAAAGCCGTCGAATTGACGCAATGCGCAAATTCTTTTAAAAATCTATTATTTTATACTCAGGTTTAGATGAACAGTAAGATATAAGGCTTTGCATTAAGAAAAAAATGTAAAAATTGTTAACATATCACGAAAGGATTAATATTAGTGCTAAGATGTTTGAGCATTTTATTTCAAAGTTCAAATTTCGTCAAATTGACGGTTCCCATAACCCTAGTGTTGAATAAAAATGCTATATCTTAAGATATCAATATATTAATTATTAACTTTCCGAAGGAGAAGTTCATGCTTTTGCCCGAAAATTCGATTTGCTATTTTAATTTCAAATGATTCACGCGTGTATGTGAGATAGAGCCAAATATTTACCTTTGTGATAGCTGTTTTCTCAATAACGACTGCACTGATTTCAAAAATTTAAAGGCCATTTGATTTAAATTTTGCATTGTGATAAGATCCAAGATGTCCAAAATATTACAGATCTACGAAAAGTAGAATTACGAAAAAGTAATTACAAAAATTAATTATTTTCACGTTTTGGAAGAATATTCTTCCAAAAGCCTATATAGGCCACATTTTTAGGACATGCACAATATTATGCGCGTATTCGTGCGGTTGAAAATCTGAGTGTTTACGAAAGCAAATTATTATAAAATATCCTCATGCACCTGGTTTCCTTATATTCATACTAGAAAAAGCTCGTTGAACATAAAAAGGTTGCCTAGCGTCACCACTCCTTTAAATTTTGTAACGGTTTCATATGTTTTCTATTAATTTGACTATTTTGGAGTCAAAAAATATCTGGGCCGGCCGTGGTCCCGTGGTAAGAACGTGGCCTAGCAAATCCTAGTCCCGGGTTCGGATCCAACCTCGGTCGGTTCGGTATCAAAGCAGCTTGATACCAAATTTTCACTTGAAATCATAGATTTCAAATATGATTTCAAGTGAAAATGGCCTTTCGTGGGCATAGCTGTAGTGGCAACATGCCACTTGGAAGTAAAAAAAAAAAAACAAAAGTCATCACTATTACAACGATTGTAATAATTCAGCACATAGAGATGGGACAACTGTTTGGGTTGCCATCTATAATAATTGTAAGATAATTGATCACAACAGCTCATAGAACTCATAAGTTCTGATCGCTGTTAAAGAATTTAAAAAAAAAAAAAAAAAAAAAAAAAAAATCTATTTTGAACCCTATTTGTATTGAACGCCGATTTACTTTTTCTCCTTCTCTATACTCTTCTCAAAACCGATTGACACAAAGATGCATCGATATAAAATTGATGAACACATATAATCAACAATAATCAGCACATTATTTTTCAATACCTACAACAAATATCAAATATGTTATCAACCGCATTATATATTTATTTTTATTACGGAACGAGCAATGATAACTGTGACAGAGTATACAAAATGTATCAATGATAACAAAATAAGCAATAAATTCAAAGCAGTGTCACTTATTTACCTTATTACCTTGTTTCAGAACTAGGCAATGAAATATAAGAATTAATGGATAGGTCTGACAAGGAATGGAATTTCTTAATACGTATACTATACATACACGATGCTTGATGGCAAAAAGGCCTACGTGGAAAATATAAGGTATTTATAGGTTTTGATTCACGGTTCAAGTTCAATTTTATGACTACAAATTCGCAGGTATAATATATAGTATAAGATATACGCGGTAAATCGCGATTTTAATTTTATAGGTCATTTCAAACATTTTTTTCTAAGAAAGCATGGCATCTTGTTCGCAAACACACTATTTACGTAGATCAAACTCTAATTTACCAGAGCGGTGTTGCTCTAATAGATTATGCAATAATTCATAAATGGTTCGTGTAAGTAAAAGATATTATACTACCGTTTTGTTTGGTAGAGCTTTATATCGAGTTTTGCAAGAAAATCGTCCTGATTATTTTGTCAATGCAGATGCTACTCTATAAACAATTCCGAATTTGTCGTATATCATGGCAAAGTTCAAAGCTTTATTCCTAGGGTTCCTTTACGGTTCATGTTTTATATAAGAAATATTTTGTGGACTGCTTTTATAATCGATACCCACATGTGGAATATGTGTTTGAGAAAATATTGCAAGACTTCTTGGCAAGTAGAAAAATTTGATTCGCTGCTTGTCCAAACAAAATTAGGTCATGCCTATCAACACCAATGTGTTTGAAATTACTCTCACTTTCGGTACTTCGTGAAAATACAGGTTCCATGGTTTGCACAAATCCACTCATATACTAAATGCTCCTATGCGAATGAAGCATTTTTATGCACATTGCACTAATAAAAATCTATACATGTTTAGCGGAAATTGCAGAACCTCCATTATAAAAAAACAAGCGCACTCTGGTGAAAATAAAACCCATCAAATTAAATTGAATATAAAATCCCGTCATAAAAATTTTCATAGCAAAAAAAATATTTTTTTATATGGTCAAAATAATACATTTGCATATTGGAGGAAAACATTATTGAAAATGTTGCTGGCTCGAAATTCACTTGCGCGGTATGATTCCTAACCTGCTTCAAAAGCTTATCATGACGTTAGCCTTTATTAGAAAATTTGGGCTCATATAATTTGACAGAGGTTCCAATTTTGATACACGCCTGGGACAGCAGCAGTGATATCGGTTCATTCAAAAAAATCATCAATATTACAAAAATTATAAGAATAAATTCAACTCATAGATATGGTAATTTACAGGTGTAAAGCCAAGTCATTTAAGAAGTTAGCACAACAACTCAGATGATTCGTGAAGTTTTGATTGCTGTTAAAAAACTATATATATATATATATATATATATATATATATATATATAAATATATATATATATATGTGTGTGTGACTTTTTTAGCCCTTTTCGGTCATTTGTCCACTTTCAGACACATCGGCAAGTTACTATACGAATCGTGTACTGTATGCATTCATACAGCATATAGTAATTGTAAAACATAACTTTTATAGAAAAAACAACACTAGATAAGTGTAATAACTAAAAATATATCTAAAGTACACAAAACAATTATTAAATATTGTTTACACATCCTAAATTAGGAAAATAATTCCTAGTACTACGATACTCATCTTCAAATTTAATTCGACCGCAAAAGGTTAATATTATGTATTTATAGTTTTTTTTAACAAGCCTTGCATTTGTTCCTTGTCCCATTGGATTTTTCTTTACAGTTAAATAATTAAAAAAACATATCTATCATATATTGTCAGTTTTATTGATAAGGCAACATGGCTATTGTGATTTATATTTAATTCTTTAAAATAAATATGAATTAATTATATATTAATTAATAATATTCTATTTTATAAGCCATGTAGTTGCTGTGCAGTCAGGCCTTTTTTTCAGGTAGAAAACCTAACCGAGAAACCGCACAAATGCCAAATAAACTATCTTAGATAACATGGTCTTTCTGACACAGTTTCATAACATACGAGTGACGTTGCAGTTTATATGTAAAAAGCCTGAATGCACATAAATACATGACATTTTGACAGTATTCAGTATGATTCAGTGGCATAATGTATGAAAGTTGGAGCGTAACATGATTTTGCCATAACATTGGTCTGTTAATTGCGGTATAATCGGCCCATATGTCTTATTTTTGTATTATGATAATAATTCTAGTTTATCTTGATTTGTGATACAAAATTACATTATAAGTGACATTATATGTTTTATTTGTATTAATTACTAGTTGACCCGACAGACGTTGTCCTGTACCCATGTCTACAATTTTTTAATATAATATATAATTTTTTAACATAGCTATGTTGAATATTTTTGTTGCTTTAAATAAAATGATGAGTCACAATTCCCACACTATATTGGAAATTGAAGTCTTTTAAACAGTGTAACATAACCATAACAATAACATAACACTGGTACTTCAAGCTGGATTAAATTAATTTCATTTTTTATTATTTAAGATATTCAAAATTGCACCTTAAACTTCTCCTAATCGATATCGTGAGGGCCGAATTGTATGTATTCATCTTTACTTTCCCATTTGTTGTTATAAAGTGAAATTTTTACGAATTTTGAAAATATTGTGGAAATTAGTGGATTAGAAGAAAATGCAAAGAAATTAAATATTGAAAAAAAAAACATATTGAAAATTTAATATCCAAATCGTGTGTTGGCGCCCCCTAAGGCGTGCGCTCGTATTTTTCCCATGCATCGCATTAAAGGTAGAACCGGCCTTGATTAATACTTAATTTCATATTTTAAGTGAATTAGTTTGTCATATCCTGTTCAATCTGCCATACATATAATAAATCTTTTATTATTTTAATTTCTGGCATGTCTCAGCTCCTTTTTCTTATTCATAATCATAAATTTATTATACATATTCGAATATTTTCTGGGTTCATAAGTAAATTGAAATTTTTGGTAGATGATAGTTTTCATTCGTTTTCAATGCAAATAATGACATGTCGTTTTTTGCAATTTTTTCCATTTATCTCTACAATATTGCACATACATCCCAGTACTTTATAATCACATACATCCTAGAAAATTTCCTTAACAAATCTCAGAAAGATTTATCAAAATCCGAATAATAGTTTAGGAGGAGTATACAGTGAGTGCTTGTAATTTAATATGAACTTTATATAATAGCAATAAAGCTCAAATTGATTTTACGTTTTAGTTAGAAAACGTTTGTATGTGAAAAAGAAAAGAGCTGTCTTTTAGGGTTTTCCCGGCAATTATTCGATTTTTTCTAACAAAATGACTAATTGTGAAAAAATGAACAACAGTTGTGGAATTACTTTACTTGATTTGGTAGGGGAATCGTTACAGTAACTGTCCATCTTTATTTCATAGAAATATAGTCAGTGGATATCAAGATATATTAGTTACAAATACTGTTACAACCCCTAGCTTCGTCTATAATGATAATTTCAACCAACTCGTCGTCAATAATGATTATTTGAAATACTATGTTGTTTTTATATTCTAATTAAAACTTTTTAGCATGTTATACCAACTAATAAAATATTAACATAAACATCAATAACAATCGATCAATTTTCGATTAAATAAATAAAAATTGGTCGTATCATAGCGCAACAGATCAGGGTAGACGCAAGCGATTGCCTTACTCCAATGTCTGCCTTATTGCAGTTGTTTAATCTATTTCAATTATAAAAAAACTCACCAAACATTGCAATGGCAGTGTCAATTGCAAGTATCAGTCGGGGCCGAATACACGAGGCCATTGGAGGTAGACGTTGCTGCATAGGAATCTCCGTATAACTTCCGGCTCTGTCTTTAACAGAATCTTTTCGCGCCGTCTGCAAAAAAGTCCAAACTATATACATTTATTACATAGTTAGAAAAATCGCTGAAGTTGCTGAAATAGTACGCGTGAACTATATTTTTTGTATTTGCACAATGGCGCAACATGTTGAGTAGAGACATGCTTTCCAGGCGAGTTTTTCACCAATATTTTAGACAACTGAAATCATAAATGTAGGAGTTGAAAAATCCTAACCGTTCAGGTTTTTAAAGTAAAACTTCTTTAGGCGCGACTAGGGTGTAAATCCGTACAAATGCAACGGAAATAGCGTTACGCCCGAAGTGTACGTCATTCGCTCTCGGTGAAATCATTTCAATACGGGTCGATAGTGATTAGTCGTCGTGAATGTGAATAGAGATCTGTCGTTGTATGCGTACCGGCATCAACGTTGTATGCGTACCGATATCAACAAGCAATCGGCATAGATAAATAAACATTTTAAAGTTACATCGTAGTACAAATCTTGATTTAATGAAAAATGCCTGAATCAGAAGAATATTTTACCCGGTTCCCTGTAAATAATTATAATGAAAATAATAAAACAAATGCAATATTTGCGCCGTGTACAAAACATAAGTTTATTGAAATAATTTCTATATTATTCGTAGTTTCTATAAATCTTTGAAGTTATGGAAATGGAAAATATTTTTTAGCAAGATAGATATTACAGCTGTTCAAAGAATGAGATTTATCGCCAGCGAAAAAGTAAAAAAAATACAAGCAGTCAATGAATGTATGTTAATTTTAATTACATGAAGTTCTTCAAACACAATTCCATGATGAGTGAATTGCGAAAACAATATTTGTTTAGACGTTGTTTAACATAATCCACTGTGTGAATGAATATTATAGAATTGATTAATCAGTAATTACTCTAATAAAGGTTCATTTCTAAATGCTAATTATAATGACAAACCGATCATGTCATATTTGAAGTATGAATTTAATTACATAATTGCTTTTAAATATTATACATATTTTTAATGCTATTATAAATATAAAATTTATAATTTATCATTATTTAAATGCGTATAACGGTTGACACTAATAAATGTGTCCATATTATTAATAAACATTATTCAAAATTGTTATATGATTTATTTATTTCTACTTAAATGTCATCTTGTACAGTAGCAAATAAGTTTTACTTCAATCGCGTGTGAACCTTTCGCGCACTCTTTTTTTTCTTGCTGCTTTGATTCATGTTTTCTGATTAAAAATTCTCATTCACTTGATCACTTTTCTTTATAAGCATAACCATTTTTTGATCATATTACTAATGATAGTTCATTATCATTTCACAATTTTATAATGAATAGAACTTAAACCAATCACAAAATATCACCTCGTATATAAATCCATCGTCCATCATGTATTTAAAATCATAGACTGTTGTTCCAATAATAAGGTAATCATAAATGAGAGATATCGTCAAAAAAACAGCAAATAATATAGATAACCGCCTCAGATAACGCTTTAAAATTTATCACATTTAAATTCCGCGATAAAGACAAATGCAAAATAAATTATTTTTACGAAAACATGGCATCAAAACCGCAATTATAAAACAACAACATACAAATTTGTTTATAGACTAAATATTTATTATCTCTTTTGTTTGATTAGTTCTAAAATTAAGTTAAAGCGATTTGTAACTAAATTCATCAAAAATGTAGTGATTGATTTCATACTGTCTTTATAATTACAGTAGTATGTAAACAATTGAGCTAATTAAAATCTCAAAAACCTGATTAATCAAATGAATATAATTGTGATAAATTTTTCTACTCCTCATACAGAATTGATCAGATAAACAATCGGATCCAAAATCGATCCAAGGAACAGATTGGTAAATTGGTCAAAGGTAATGACAAATTATAATTGACAAAATATAATTGCGAGAAATATAACTAATATAATAGAATATTTTCACAATAAAATATCATGTTGGAATTTCAGTACAAGTATCCTAGAGTAGGGGAGTTTGAGGTTTGTTATAACAGTTTTTTTTAATTAATATATCCTGGGATTATATTTTGCCAAAATAAAGCTAGATAGATGCTCTACCTATTTTTCTACCAAATCAAGTAAAAATAATTCTATACCTATTGTTCATCCATTTACAGTTAATCATTAGCTAGAAAAACTGCGATGTTACAACTTACCCTGTGTTTAGGGCTAGTTGTAAAATCTACTGGAGCAAGTAGTTCTGATGAAAACTGACAATAATACAACCGATAATTTATTTTTTACTCATTTTTAAGAAAATTGACTTTTTCTAAGCAATCTTTTCATAAATCAACGCAAACTATAATTAATACTGTTATTATAAATTTTTATCATAAACCAAAGTAAACTACAATGATGAAATAAAAGTATGTCCTGCATATAGTTTACATGTGCCCATATATTACTAGATATACATTCCACCCCAACCATCTTCCCTTGACCATATATACAATTTTTATATGTTATAACTAGCTCCAAGGTTTTGTTTCAACTAACCCCATGTGTGACTTTTTACATTAATTAAGATAACTATTTAAACAATTTAGCAATCACAAAAATTATTTCACATTATCGAACATTGATAAATTTAGTATAAAATAAGTTGTTTAAAATTAAAAATTAGCCGGTAATAACGCAAACCGAAATTTTATGATAGATCAAATTTGTATCACGTGTCAAAAATGACGCACCTGCACAATTCTATTTACTGCATCGGCCTGCAGGATAACAGCTATGCCGTTTATATGCAGGACGGTTTACATGTCCAATCAGGACAAAAAATATTTTAATATCGTTTAGGATCCTATTAACACATGTTACTACTAACCCCTGACACAATAAATCTCTGGCTACCCTATATTATTCAGATACATTTAAATTGTCATCATAGAATAGCATTATTGCAGAATATTATTGAAGCAAAAATTTTCTAAATGCTTAACTTGCGGAGAAAGCTATTAAGATTAAGCAAGAGTGTTACGAAAAGTGTGATCAAGCGTAACAAATGAAATTTGAAAGAGATATATGAGTCATTCTTTTACAAACCGAACACCAATTAACCTTGGCATTTTAGAATTGTCTGAAATTTTTTTTTACAGATATTATACATAAAATCATTTGACACGTATTTCAGGATTTTGCTGAAAAAAATTTTTTTACGTAAATATTTACGATTGAAATATGGATTTTTTGCTCAATTTCTATGAACATCATCTGCGGTAAATTAATTAACTCCAGATTGGATCAGTATTCTTTTTTTTTATTACACTCATATTGAAGTGAACTTTGTAATGATTACAATTTTTTTTTTGTTTTTGCAATTTTCTTAACAATAACAACCCTTAAATATTTACAAAGGTTTTACTCAGCCTTTCCCCAAATTGAATCGATCCAAAAAAAAACATATTTTTTCTTTTTTTCTCTGCAACAAAATTCTTTTTACAATCTGTTGGAGACATCTGTTACGTCGAAAGATATTAAATATTTTCAAGCGCGAGCCGCGCTTTTCACGTCGGGGACCTCAAAGACTTGTACTCATTTGTCACTTTCGAATGACAATCTTATTGTTTTTCGGTTGAAAAATATTTTATAATTTCGCTTCTGGCAAAAATTAATATATAGTCGAAAAAAAAACATTAGGGGAAGGCGGAGCTTAAAAGTTCGTGGGTAAAAATATCCACTGCCAATATCTCAAAAACAAGTAAAGATCAGTTATACCGGTTTCGGATCGTAGATAATAACAAATGCATATGTGGAGCTGCAGAAACAATTGATCACTTATTTTGGCAATGCCATCTTCATAATGAACATCGTAATAAACTATACAAATGTCAGAGTGAAAAGGGAATATCATTTCCAATAAATACAATCATATTAGTCGCTACAAATAATATACAAATTTATAAAATCGTTATGGACTTTATTAGTAAATGCAAAATAAAAATTTAAGTTTCACTTTATTGATATCTATGTGTATATGTAGGTATGTGTATGTGTATATATAAATATGTATGTGCATGTGTGTATGTATATATATGTATCGATATGTATATAGTTAAGTTTAGATATGTACGTAGTTATAATTAATATTATAAATGTCTGTAGTGTGCTAGATAACCATAAGGTTGAAGCCAAATAAATAAATAAATAAATAAAAACTTTATAAAGTATAACAATAACTAGTGGTACATGTGATTCATTTTTTTAGACTTCGAAAAAAATTGACCTTGAAAAGATTTAATTTTTCTATACTTGAATGATGTTGATGTAGAACTTTTTTTCATGCTATTGCGAAACGCTAGCTGCGTAGAAACAAAAAATCTAAGCGCGTGGGCGCCGCGTTGCAGTACTACGAATAAACATTGGTACGGAACCATAAGAAATGCAGACAAAATTTATTCTTATTATTAAAATATCAATAAAATACATGATAATTTGATGTGCATATGTCTAATAATCATTTTTGTTCGCCAAATACCATATTTTTTACTTTTTTTTATTGGATCTCCAAACCGCCTTTTCAAAAGTTTTTCATTTTGTTAATATAAATAAATTGCTTTTTGAATCGTTCAAATCGTACGCTCTGTTCTCTCAAAAATTGAAATACCATTTTTGGCACTTTTTGTCCCGTATCTTCAGAAACGGTTGAACCAAAAACTAAGCAGCACGTCTCCTTATCAATAGGAATCGAATATTTTTTGAATTATTCAAATTGGTTCACCCGTGTTCTTGAAATCGTAGACGTAAAATTGTATCGCACATTTATTTTTTTAAAGTATGCCAAAATGACCAGAAACCTTTGAAACGTGGAAGATATATAAAAATTTTCATTTTCGATATTTTGCGATTACTATAACTTACTCTATAAGAAGTTAATAAACTATTGTTATGCATATTATACCAGAGGTAATGATGACAATACTATTATGAACAAGTATAAATAATTGTGATAATTAATTATTATACTTATGGCTAAAATTATTAAGA